CTGTCCCGCACTCTACCCTAACCCATCCCATTTACGCACTCCCTTCACGCACTCTCTTATGTACACTCCTTGGACTCCACTCGGCTACTCTCGGGCACTCCTCGACGCCTGTCGTCGGGACGCCTCGGCCGAGTGTCATCGATCTATTTGCGGAGCTGGAATTTCTGCCCTCTGAATTCTGAGCGATTTCAGAATCGGTCGCCGAGGACAGTGCGCATGCGCGTCCCCCTTTTTTTAGGGGTGGTCGAGGGGGTTGATACCCGTTAGATGGTCGGCCAGGGGTCAGGGGTAGACTGTTTGGGGTCATTACAGTTTATGAATGTAGAGCTTTGATTGGCAAGGACTTTGCTTGGGATTGGGAATGATTTCGCAATCTTGATCTTGCTTGGATCCCAGGTACGTCTCGTCTGATGATCATTGGGCTAATTTATATTGGGTCTTGGTTGTGAGCTTGTACGGGGAGAAGGAGTTTTTGGTTTCGGGTGGAGAAAGTAAGGAATTTTGAAGGTCGCGATCGCTGAGCTTGCACGGTCTTTGTGAAGATAGGATGAGTCGTAGGGAAAATGTTCCCATGTTGACGAATATTAATGTGTTACGTAATTTATGGATTAATATGTTTTTGGGGTCACGAAAGACTGTTATGCGATGTGTGGAAGTTTTCTTTTTTAGGGGTGGTTTTGGGTTCGTGCGATTTTTATGGCTTTAATGAGTGTACCGGTGGGACCAGTTGGTTCTAGATGCTGTCCAATGATTTTTTAGGTGAACCTTGACCCCGGGTATGTTTGCTATTTTTATTCTAGAAGTGGTGGTTTGTAATTTAGGGGTGGAATATCGTTCGTACATTGACTTTTATTAACCCCTAGCGGGTTCTGGTGTCCAGTTAGACCGGATTAACGAAGCTCTGGTAAATTCAGTTCTCAATGATGCATTCCATCGGGATGGTAATTTGATGGCGCTGTTGTCGCAGTCGTTGTTGTTGTCATCCGGGAGGGAAGGAAACCGGGTCCTCGGCCCGGTGGCCGCGGCCGCATTGTGGGGGTGTTGGCCTTCAACTTGGCGGCGCAGTTTCACTGACCTGCCTGAGAATCACGACGGACTCTGGGCCGGTTTGCAAGCGAGCGACCCGAGTCCCCGGACTATTCACTCTTGTTATAGGGAGAGTGTGTAAACGGTTTTGGGTCCCCTTTGAAAATTGGGCCTGAATAGATTTCTTGGGGCGGTTATATGGGTCCCTGGTTAAAATGAGTCGAGGGGGGTTGGGGGACCGTTAGGGACTGTAAAAGAATTCGATGGGCGGAGATGGTGTTTCTTTTTTTTTTTTACTTAGTGACTCTGTCGGGTTTTTTTTTTTCCCTGTAGCCATACCGAAGATTCGGTAATTACCGAAAACCGGAGCAGATGGTCCGGTTCCTTTTTCCGGTTTTTTTTTCTCAAAGAAAAAAACGAGTCACGGACGTTAAATCGGTGTAATTGGAGTCAGGTAGTGTGTTTCAGGGCCGAGAACAGAATTTTCAAAAATATGCATTACACTGAATAATTTTTAATACCATAAAAACATTCAAATCACAGCGCTTGACCCACCATTTTTTTTTCTTTTTTTTTAATCTCTCAAAATTCAGTCACCACCGTTGTTGTCAATAAGTACCGGGGAGTCGACTCCACCAGCAAGACGACGTAGCCCAGTAACCAACCAGGGCGTAAGTAATCTGCTCTCATTCATAACAAGAGAAGGATAACACAAAGCAAAAGAAAGTCTGATAGAATAAAATTAATAAAAAAAATAAATAAATAAAAAACCGTACCAAAGAATCAGCACCCACGTGGTTAATGGAAGTTCAACCTACGTTTTAAACTCAACGACCCAGCGCGTCAGCGCCTCGGCAGCGTCGCGGCAAAATCCTCAACTACTTCTCACTCCAGTACCATAGACTATCCCATAGGAAAACACAGTTTTAAAAATAATCGAAGCCTTCGTCAAATAACATCCTGCACACAATATAGACATACACATTCCCATATATATGTATATGTATCCCATTGTCGCACAAGAGGATCTTGCTCGTTTATCGAGCCTTATCCCAATTCCCTTTGAACGACCGTAAACTTAATTCTATCCTGTTTGCCCGTCTATGTTGTTCGTATCGTCTACGGTTTCGCAGTGCGTAACTGAAGAAGAGCAGCCGCTTCTGGCTCCGCCTGAACAAAGCCAGCAAAAGTGCTTTCCTTTATTCCTCGTCTTCTTTATTTCCTTCTCTCTCTCGCTCTCTCTCTCTCTCTCTCTCTCTCTCTCTCTCTCTCTCTCTCTCTCTCTCTCTCTCTCTCTCTCTCTCTCTCTCTATCTATCTATCTTT